GCTTAAAAATGGAAAACCAAATAAGGGTTTTGTAGAGGATAGTGAGAGGAAGTAAAAGTATTACTAGCTTAAAGGTCTAAGGTGAGTGGAAGGAGGCCAAAATGAAGTCAAAAGCTCTAAGCTAAGCTTTTCCTTCAATGGAGGCTATGTTCGGATAAGAGTAAAGGGAATGAAAATGAGATCAAATGAAAGTAGTGGGTGGAGGATCTAATATTCCTCCAAGGTGTTCTTACACTACCTCTCACTCATACACAATGCAAGACTTAATTTGGTGCCTACATTTGTCACCAATCCATGGCTTCTTCCTAGGGTTAATCCTAAGTCTACACTTGTCAACCATCCAAGCCAACAATTGCACCAATCCTAGGCTAAAAAGTGAGTGAATCTCCACCATCCACATGTCACAAGATAATGCTTCCAAGTGACTCCACCCCAATGCCGACAAGTGGCTCCACGAGAGTGTGACACTTGTCATACTTTTTCAAAAATTACAAAAAAGTCCTTTTTCCAAAATATTTTCTAAATTAAATTACAAAATGGTCCCTAAGATGAAAAATAATCACTTTACATAATTACACTAAAATCCGAAAAGCCAAGAATATTTCCAAGAAATTATGCATCTATACCAATTATAAGAAAAGTAAACATCTAGCATGTTTTTCTACTAAAGTAAAAATACAATTATGTTGGAAATTAAATATCATGATTGCATGTAAGGCCGGAATCAAATCCGAGCACAAGATGTGAGGTAAAGCAAGGAAAAATGATAAACAAGAAAATGACAAAAAAGGTAAAAAGACGAAAAAAGAAAATTATCGAAAAATAAAAAGAAGGAAAATGACCGGGTCATTAAAAGAAATCTAAATAGACAATAATATATTTAAAGAAAGTAAAATAATTTTTTAAAAGAGTTTATATAAAATTCTAACACAAATTACCTATTTATCTATTTATTATGAGTTTTTAAATAAAAGAAAATCTAATTAGACAAGAATTAATATAAAAAATATTTATTAATTGATTTTAAAAATAAAATAATTTACCTAAAACTCTACTACAAATTATTACCTAATAAAATTCATATTGTGTTTCAGTATTTATTTATTAATATATATAAAATATTTATTAAGTTTAAAAAAATATTACCTAATAAAATTCATATTACCTGAAAAATTATTTCAAATTACCTAATAAAATTCAAATTACAAATTACGTAATACTTTTATAAAAGAGTTTTCATAAATTACAAAGTACCTAAAAAAAATTCAAATTACCTAAAGATTTATTTCAAATTACATAATAAAATTCAAATTAAAAATTACCTAGTAAAATTCAAATTATCTAAATATTTATTTCAAAATATAAATAAAAATATTAATTAACTTATATAAAAGGAATTTTTAAAACAGTTTCAATAAAACTTTAACACAAATTACCTATTTATCTATTTATTATGAGTATTTAAATAAAAGGAAATCTAATGAGAAAAAAATTACAAATATAAATTTTTTTTTATTAATTCATATAAAAAATAATATAATTTCTCTAATACTCTACCACAAATTACCTTTTATTATGAGTTTTTTAATAAAAGTAAATCTAATTAGACTATGAAATATTTAAAGAAAAAAAAATAATTTGTCTAAAACTCTACCATAAATTAGTTATTTTATTTTTTATAGAATGATATATTTAAAGAGTTTCTATAAATCCTAACACAAATTATCTATTTATCTATTTATTATGAATTTTTAGTGAAATAAAATCTAATTAGACAAAAAAATATTAATATAAAAATATTTATTAATTGATATAAAAAGAGATTTTAAAAGATTTTCTATAAAACTCTAACACAAATTACTTATTTATCAATTTATTATGTGTTTTTTAGTAAAAGAAAGTCTAATTAAACAAGAATTATTAATATCAAAAATATTTATTAATTGATATAAAAAATAAAATAAATTTTCTAAAACTCTACCACAAATTATCTTTTACTTTGAGTTTTTTAATAAAAGAAAATTTAATTAGAGAATAATTATTAATATAAAAATAAATATTTATTAATTGATATAAAAAGAGTTTTTATAAAACTCTAACACATTTTACTTATTTATCTATTTATTTTGAGTTTTTTTAATAAAAGAAAATCTAATTAGACAATAATATATTTAAAAAACATAAAATAATTTCTATAAAACTCTACAACAAATTAGCTATTTTATTTTCTATAAAACTTTATCACATATAACCTGTATTTATATATTTATTATGAATGTATTTAAATAAAATAAAATAATTTCCATAAAAGTTCACCTTAAATTACCTATTTTATTTTCTTTAAAACTCTATCACATGTAACATATATTGATCTATTTATTATGAGTTTTTTTAATAAAAGGAATCTAATTAAAAAGGATATATTTAAAGAAAATAAAGTATTTTTTTTTAACAAAGTTTTTATAAAACTCTAACACAAATTCTCTATTTATTCATTTATTATGAATTTTTTAATAAAAAAAAATCTAATTGGACAAGAATTATAAATATAAAAAATATTTATGAATTGATATAAAAAATTAAACAATATATATAAAACTCTATCACAAATTACCTTTTATTATGTGCTTTTTAATAATAATAAAAAATCTAATTAGACAAGGATATATTTAAATAAAATAAAATAATTTTTATAAAACTCTTCCTCAAATTAGTTGTTTTATTTTCAATAAAACTTTATCACATTAGACAATGATATATTTAAAGAGTTTCAATTAATTCTAACACAAATTACCTATTTATCGATTTATTATGAGTTTTTTTATGATAGGAAATATAATTAGACGAGAATTATTAATATAAAAATATTTATTAATTGATAGTAAAAGAGATTTTAAAAAAGTTTCTATAAAACTCTAACATAAATTACATATTTTTCAATTTATTATAAGTTTTTTAATCAAAGAAAATCTTATTAGACAAGAATTATTAATATATAAAATATTTATTTATTAATAAAAAAATAAAATAATTTTTCTAAAACTTTATTACCTATAACCTTATATATATATATATATATATATATATATATATATATATGTATATATATATATTTAATGAAAATAAAATATTTTCTATAAAACTCTACCACAAATTACCTATTTTATTTTCTTTAAAACTTTATCACGTATAACATGTATTATTTATTATGAGTTTTTTAATAAAATAAAATATAATTAGACAATGTTATATTTTAAAAAATAATAATAATTTTTAAAAAGAGTTTCTATAAAACCCTAATAAAAATTACCTATTTATTTATTTATTATGAGTTTTTTAATAAAAGAAATTCTAATTAGCCAATAACTATTTATGTAAAAAATAATTATCTTTTATTATGAGTTTTTGAATAAAAGAAAATCTAATTAGACAATGATATATTTAAAGAAAATAAAATAATTTCTATAAAACTCTAACACAAATTACCTATTTTATTTTCAACAAAACTCTATCATATTAGACAATAATATGTTTAAAGAGTTTTTATAAAACTCCAACACAAATAACCTATTTATCTATTTAATATGAGTTTTTTAAGAAAAAAAAAATCTAATTGGACAAGAATTATTAATATAAAAAAATATTTATTTATTGATATAAAAATAGTTTTTAAAAGAGTTCCTATAAAACTCTAACACAAATTATCTATTAATCTATTTATTATGAATTTTTATTAAAATAAAATCTAATTAGATAAGAATTATTAATATAAAAAATATTTATTAATTGATATAAATAATTGTATAATTTTTCTAAAACTCTACCCCAAATTACCTTTTATTATGACATTTTTAATAAAAGAAAATCTAATTAGACAAGAATTATTAATATAAAAAATAATCTATAAAACTCTACCACAAATTAGCTATTTTATTTTCTTTTAATATTTCAGTATTTATTTATTAATATAAAAAATATTTATTAATTGATATAAAATGAATTAAAATAAAAAAGTTTCTGTAGTTAAAATGAATTAAAATAAAAGATTTTAAATCATTATTAAACAACTAAAGAATTGGTAAAATATGTAATAGTTTAATAAAATAATTTACTATATAATAAAATAAGTTACAAAACGTTCATCACGTGCATTGCACGCGCCTTTTCCTAGTGTGTGTGTATATATATATATATATAAACACTTAAATTCTCCTCTTTTCTTTTTTTTAAACACCTAAATTCTTTTTTTTTTTCCTCCCCCGTCACACTAATACAGCAATGCGTGTGTAGATTGAGTATCTATATATAGAAATAACTACTTTTTTTTTTTTTTTTTTTTTTTTTTGTATATATATTTTATATGGATTCATAATAGAGAGATAGATTATCAAAGATTAGATGATATCTATATAGTGAAAAAAAAGAAGATGATATATATATATATATATTAACAAATTAAAAATAAAAAATAAAAAATAATCATAATCATAATCCATTATGAAAATATTATTAATATATACACACATAAAAGGGTTCTTTTGTCTTATAAATTTATATTTTAAATTTCTCATAACGATAAAAAATATTTAATTAAGAGTAATGATAGGTCTTCCGACTTCAATTGTCGACTCCTCGATAATTGATATCGAAAGACCTATCATTTCTCTTTAATTAATTAGCGTGTAATTTTAGGAGTAATAAATAAAGTTAAAAATTTTCACAATGTAATTTACTCAAACATTTAGACACGTCGATGTAATTTATCATTATTTATTAGTGGGGCAGAAAACAAATAAGAAAAATATGAGTCCACGTCCAATTGATGTAAGTTATGAATCAAAAACCTCTCCATGGTCCCCCCGTAAGTTAAAACCACTTGGTACCAACCAAAAAAAAAAATTGGAAATAGTACCCGACATATCACATTTTGGTCGGGGCGGGTTGTGGGGTGGTGGGTCATTGTCTTCCACCGACTATTGCTTCCAAAATAATTCCTTCCCTGAGGCTCAACTGAACCACCTCTCAACTTTCCCAGATCTTATCACACTTCTTCCACTGCCAGTCTCTGTGTTTTAGAGAGAGAAAGAGAGATATACATAGAGAGAGAAACATTCACAGAATCCTCCGCCCCGAGTCCTAACTACTAATGTGCATCGCTTGATTCTCTATCCCTCTCTCTCTACTTCTCTCATCAATGGATAGAGAATCTTCAGACGACGAAGAAGATCGACATAACCTAATCGATCAGAACGAAAGATTACCCAAATCCCCACGAAATCCAACCTTTCACATTGATGAATTCAAGGACAGAATTGCCAATGGTCGAAGTTTTAGCATCCCTCGTTTCAACTTCAATAAGAGGTACCTCTTCGCCATTTTTCTTCCACTCTTCATTGTCATCGTTTATTTCACTACCGATATCAAAAGCATGTTTCAAACGAGTGTTTCCAATGTCAAATTTGATTATTCCATCAATCGAATGCGAGAGTCCGAATTGCGCGCTCTGTATTTATTGAGACAGCAGCAATTGGAGCTTTTCAAGCTCTGGAATCGGACATTTGTGCCTGAATTGAATTCCACATTAGTAAACCCTACGAATTCTACCACCAATAATTCGAATTTGAATCCTCCATTGCATGATCTTGTTTCAACACCTTCCTCATCTGCATTGTCTGAAGATTACAAGTCTGCGTTGCTTAATCAGATTTCACTGAATAAACAAATTCAACAAGTTCTGTTGTCGTCCCACCAATCAGGGGATTCAATGGATTTAGGGAATAATGCTACGGATCCTAGTTTAGAAGGTCATGGTGGTCTGGATAGGTGTCGAAAGGTTGATCATTCGTCCGAGAGGAGAACAATTGAGTGGAAGCCGAGATCGAATAAATACTTGTTTGCAATTTGTCTGTCAGGCCAAATGTCGAACCATTTGATTTGTTTAGAGAAGCACATGTTCTTTGCGGCTTTACTCAACCGCATTTTAGTGATTCCGAGCCCCAAAATTGATTACCAGTATCACCGTGTGTTGGATATTGATCACATAAATAAATGCTTGGGAAGAAAAGTTGTTGTGACATTTGAAGAGTTTGCGGATTCTAGAAAGAACCATATACACATAGACCGGTTTATATGTTATTTTTCATCACCTGATCCTTGTTATACGGACGGTGATCATCTTAAGAAGCTGAAGTCATTGGGGATCTCAATGAATAAGCTTGAGAGTGCTTGGGTTGAGGATACCCACAAGCCAAAGAAAAGGACAGTTCAAGATGTCTTGGCAAAGTTTTCTTCTGATGATGATGTTATTGCGATTGGAGATGTCTTCTTTGCTGCTGTGGAGCAAGAATGGGTGATGCAGCCAGGTGGACCTATAGCCCACAAATGCAAGACCCTGATTGAGCCAAGCCATATTATTATGATTACTGCACAGCGTTTCATTCAAACTTTCTTGGGAGAAAAGTTCATTGCTCTTCATTTCCGGCGACATGGATTCTTGAAGTTTTGGTATGTCTTTCTTTCCTGTTATTTCCTACCTCAATATTCAAAAAAACTTAAGTTGTAATGTCTCATGATTAACATTTTGGAAGCATGCAAGAACTAGTTATGGAGTAAAATAGTAGTTTCATAATATTTGGCTTGTAATCCTTGTATTTGTAATACTTCCTTTGTTGGGTATAAAGCTTTTCTAAATTGTTGAACTAAGTGTATTGCAACAAGGGCCGATTAGCATATTTGAAGCCAATGGAAACTGTGAACCCATTCACCTGCTAGTAACTTGCAATGTGTTATGTGTATCTTCACCATTGATAGTCCTCTTTCTCTGCTTTTATGTGATGGTATATCTCATGGTAACTTTATCTGTGGTGTAATGCAATAGCTGTTTCATGGACCAAATAATTCAAATCGGCTTGTCAAATAAATCCATCGTTGTACTTAAAATAAGGCATATTTCACCTACTTCGTATCAGCTTATTAGGCACCTTTATTAGTGCCTAGTATGTGTGCTTCTTCACAGATAAAACTCTCTGCCTATCCATGCTCATAAAACTTTGTTTTCACAATGCCTCTCTGACAATTCTTTTTTTAATTTTCCAGTAATGCTAAAAAACCAAGTTGCTTTTTCCCCATTCCTCAAATTGCGGAGTGCATTACTCGGGTGGTGGAAAGGGCCAATACACCAGTTGTTTATCTTTCAACGGATGCTGCAGAAAGTGAAACCAATTTACTTCAGTCGCTAATTATGTTAAATGGGAAGATTGTACCACTTGTTAAGCGACCAGCTCGTAATTCAGCTGAAAAATGGGATGCTTTGCTATACAGACATGGCATCGAGGGAGATTCACAGGTCAGTGTACTTTCTTTTTTATTTTTCTTTTTCTTTTTTTGACTTTTATTAGTTAATTTTTAGGTCCTGGTGAGAGGTGGAGCTGTTACCTATGACAGTTTTATATTTAGCTTTATCGTTGATGAGTCTCATAAGTACAAGATATATGATGAACATACAATCAGTTGATTTTTCTCCTGGAATTTTTCATGAATGCTGTTTCCTTGTTATTTGTCTGGTTTGGTTATGGTTAGAAGAAATCTAGAATGCACCTCATGCCATCTATTTTATATAACATTCTTTTATAAGTACCACATGGAACACCCATGATCAACTGTGACTCAAAACCACTTCCCTCCCTTCTTTATCCTCCCTTTAGGAGTAGGAGATACAACTCAAGCTAAAAGCTCATTAGCAAAATATTTTATGCTAGCATTTTACCCCTTTGTATGCAAAATATTAGGCTCATTTTAAATGGACCTTTAAATTGATGCAGAACCTATTATAGTGGTATGAGAAAGTTTGAATATAATGATTTCATTTGTTTAGTAACACCCCCCCCCCCCCCCCCCCCCCCCCCCCTCCTCCTCCTCCCACTCCCAGAGTACATGTTTCTTCTTTTGGCTGCAAATAAAATTCCAAAGTAAAATCTTGGGTTGCTGATTATTGTAAAAAATTGGTTTTGATACATCCTAGATACTTCAATTCTATTGTATGGATGTGGTCCATCAATGTGAGTGTAAAGAACAGGATGCTGTCTTTGCAACTTTGTCTAACTTCCACACAAGTGCAGGAGCCTCCAATTCTTGCATCTGTTTCTAAAAGATGAAGTTTTAGCCAACCATTTGGATTTCTAACTCAATAAATTTTCTTCTTTGGTAAAGAAATTCCTTTATGATGGAGCTTGCCTTTGGTCAAGTCCGAAGAAGTATTTATTTGTTCCTTTGTAGTTTGAAGCTATGTAAAAGTAGAAAATGCCTTTACATGTGTGTAATAGCACATAGTATTTAATTTTTGTAAGATTAGACATGGTAATCATACCTAGTCCTTCAGGAGAAACTGAAATACTCCAAACTACCTTATTTTTTTCATTGCTTTGAACATGATACCAAATGTGTAAACCAAGCAAACTTAGAGGCTTTCCTATGATTGTTGCTTGATGAATACATGCTAATCTTTGATAGTCATATCGTTACATTGGTTAGGAGCTTTATACATCATTATAATTTTGTAAGAGGCAATTATCCATTGTGGTCCTTTTAATCCACCGTGCTTGGATAATACAATCAGTAGAAGTTTTCTTTAATGTGTTAGTGGAAATCAGTGGAACGGTGTAAGATGTAAGTGCTGGTTGAGAAATCACTACTTGCGTTGCCATTGACCTCTTTAACGTGTTAGTGGAAATTAGCGGAACAGTGTAGGATGTAAGAGCTGGCTGAGCAATCTCTAATCTGCCAGTTAAAGTTTTTGTTTGGTATCTGCATATCAGAAAGCGTGATGCTGGAGACTTGGACAGCAATCAATAGAGTTGTTTGAAGGATGTCCAATCTGTGAATTGTAGGCACGATTGTCGATGAAACACTGTGTCCTTTGCTCTGGTGATTCATGGGAGGACAAAATAGATTCCGCGATCGCTCGTGTCTCGGTTTTTGTTAAGTAGCTGGAAAGGTGGGGTGAGTTCATTAGTTTAGCCATAGGTGATGGTTGGTTTAGTCATAGGATAAATGTAGCCCAATGAATAAGTAAGGATTTAAAAATAAAAATATAAAGCATACTATTAGTAGTATTATGATATGTTTATATTATGGTGTTAGTATTTCTGACATTGCACTTGTTTATATATATATATATATATATATATAGAAAAGTACTGCACTTGTATATTTAAAGTTCATTTCCAGTCACACTAGCCATCGGTACTTGCAACTGAATTCAGGTATCATGGAATCTTTATCATGTGGTTATATTATCATAAAGCTATATGGGGTGGTTTTCCTGATTATACTGAAACATTACCTTTATACTTTGGTTCTATGTGCTTACTGTCGAATTTGTGTGTCTTTCTGACATTATAGCTTTTATAAAACCCACTACATATTGAAGATGCAGTGTGTGCACATTCGAGAGTGTGTGGGTGTGAGTCTTGGCGGTAATGGTATACATTGTGCTTGTAGTTCCAAATGATAGGCTGATCTTTATAGTGACTCGATGCTTATTCAGATTATGTTTTGGGGGTGCATCTTGTGGGTCAACATCTCAAAACACAAACTTTTAAATTGTGCCATCTCAAATGCACATTGAGAATGGCACAACCCGAGTTTATGGTCTGATATAATAGTTGTTGAATCAAGAAAGCAAGATAGATGAATGGTTTAACCTGACAATGAGGAAAAAAAGACTGACAAGTAAATAATTGTTTTCGGATACTGAAATGATGTATTGTTGAAAGATCTCCTAATAGTGTGTGTGTGTGTGTGTTCCTCTGCCCCCGCCATCTTCAGAATTGTACCCTTATAGGCTGCTAACAGAAGCCCCTCTAGTGCATAGGGAAAATGAATAATAATATAACATTCATACGCATAAAATGGCATTTTTCAGAAGTGCACATGCCTCACTTCTCCCTCTTCATCCATTTACTTCATAAAATTATGCATTCTGGGAATTATTGGTTATTAATCTTCATTTTTTTCCTATTGGAGATTGTTATCATCTATCGTTATCATCAGTTATTCTTACAGTGATTTCACTTTTCATCTTGAAGGTGGAAGCTATGCTGGATAAGACAATATGTGCCATGTCTTCCGTGTTCATTGGAACCTCTGGATCCACTTTCACTGATGACATTCTGCGGTTACGGAAGGACTGGGGTTCAGCATCACTTTGTGATGAATACACCTGCCAGGGTGAACTGCCAAATTTTATCGCAGAAGAGGAATGAAGAAGGAACACGGAGACCATTAGTTGATCTGCTGGCCGCTAGGAAATTTTCGCTTCCTTGTCCTTTGTTCACCTTTCATCCCCGAATAGTCCAGTAAAGATGGTTGGTTTGGTCTAATTTCTGATGACATGTACCCTAGTGTATTATAGTAGCCTTTCTGTCCTGCTTAGAATTTGTTTTGTATACTTCATTTTTTCAGCGCATGGTCGAGTGTTTATTTGTTAGACAGACCTGGTCTTTGTGAATTTAGCCTCTCTGTCCTCGCTTTGCAAGCGCACACAGACACACACATATATTCTAAGTGGAATCGTTTCTTGGGATGTAAGACGAGTTGTCAACTAGTTTAATAGTTTGGATCCTTATTTTCTTGGGAAGATTGTATTGTGAATAGAAAATTAAATTGTGATGGAAAATACAAGTGATAGAATGGACCGAGGGAGACATTGATAGGATTACAGCAACCAATTTGGCCAAAGCGAGATCTACAAATTGCATGCAGAATAAGATGCCACCCAACGAAAGGGTAGGCTGGTAAATGACTCATCATAGCGTATCTCATGTATAATGCCACCCAATGCCAACCTTCTTATCGCCTTTGTCTCTGTTTGAAACTTGAATCTTTTCACTTTGAAATGAAATACTGATAATGTTTGAAATTTATAATCTTCACACTTAGAAATGAAATACTGATAAGGTGCTCGAAAACGTATAGTTAAAGTTCTTTAATAAAAAAATAAAAAAAGTTTCGATTTTAATAATCGATTAATTTTTATTTCATTGATTGCCATACAAAAATTCTTATTGGACACAATATGTTAAGGGTTTTTTTAAAAATCAATAGTAACATTACTTCTTTCTTGATCTATGATGATTCTAGGGGAATCAATTTTATGTGATTTTGCTTCCAAGTGCCTCTATGAAACTTAGAACGTCACGTGTACAATGACTACAATAAACCCACATCGACCACGTGCACTGCACTAGGATCTCTCTCTTTCTCGAGCGGTCTAGCCTTAAAATGCGCATCGCTTCGCCCCGTAGCAGCAAAATGTAGTAGTATTCTCTTTTGGCGATGGAGTATATCGTATCTATTACCGTGACAAAGTAATGCTAGAACTAGTTTCCATCTACACAGTGAGTGCTATTTTCTGTTATCAATTCAAAATCTCCCATACATACAAACACCACACAGTACACACAACACAGCCGTAATAGCCTTCGAACCCCACACACCCCTTTTGAATCGGATTTCAGCGAAACCGAATCACCATATACAACTTTTCACAATATCTCCATTACAGTTAGGGTTTCACTACACACTTTGAGATCAATTTTTTCAATTTTTGTTCTTTGTAGTTCGATCAAATATATATAAATATATACACACACACACACACACACACATACGCACGCGCGAGAGCACAAACTCCATCATGAGAGCCAAATTGGTGGTTTTCCCGATCAGAGGAAGGAATTGGTGCTTCAGCAGATCCATTGACCAATCAGTATCCGAGACAGCGTCTTCTCAAACTCCTTCAACATTCAAAGACCTTTGGAAGACGATCTCATCCTCCTCCTCCAATGCCAAGTCGCTCAACTCCAATGCCGAACTCGTTGTTGATTTCTTCTCCGATAAGGTTTTATTATTAAATGAACCATTTATATGTGTTACTAGTTTTGTTTATTGCCTTCCTTTTATATATTGGACCTTGATATGAAGTGTTGTTGTTTTCATGTATAGATGAATCGAGCTTGGTCTGGTTTCGAAAAAGCGCCTGCTGGAAGTTTCAAAAACAAGCTTCATGGGTATAATTCGCTTCTTTCTCTAAGTGTTGCATTTGGAAAAAAGTCCCTTTCTTTTGAATTTTGTTTTGTTTATGAAATTCAATCTTTTCTAGTTTCGGAGTGCGGCTTTTGGCTCGTGTTAAGCCTTCTGAGATTTTCTTGAAATCTATCTCTAAGGAGGTTACAAAAGTTGAAGTTACCTACCCCGCAAGGTCTGTTCTCTTCACTTAAGTTTCCTTAACTTGGGTCTTATCTATGTTACATATATTTGTGTGTTCTGTGTTTAGCATTACTTGATAAGCAAATCATTTATCGTCAAATGCCACAATTTTATACTGAGCATGGCCACCATCTTTTTGTTTCTGCATTTCTTGAATTTATTTTGTGCTACAAACAAAATTAGAGGACAATTGTGCTTAGTGAAATTTATGGAATTCAGGTTCCCTTTATACGCTCGCAAATATTTAAGTGACAGAATATTCCTTTTTGGCCCTACCCATTACAATTGGTACTTGCATATCAAGGATGCTATGCAGCTAGCTTACTATTTATGACCTTGGAACAATACATTGTAAAATAATAATTTGTCAGTAGCTTTATAGCTAGATATGGTCTTGTTAAGAACCATAGAAAATGACTTTGGGTGAGAAAAATTGAAAACATAAAGCAGGTTTTATGTATATAAACTTGCTAAGTGAAGAAAATTAAACTTTGGCCATGTTCACTATATTGAGGAACCAAATATTGTTGAAGGTTGGAACAGAAAGGTGAAGAGCTATTTTTCGAGGTTGATTTACAAAAATCGCTCGTGTCTTTGACTTTTTGAGTGCAAAGACAGATTCATTGCTTGGGAATATAGTGAAGAGGCATAAAAATAGGATCACATTTTTGACATGTGTTTCGAGATGGCTTGGATATTGAAGAAGTTTGAGGAGGCTTATCTGGATTGCTACAGCCCAAATCCTGCTCACGGACAAAGTGGTTAAGGAGAAGGCTGAGAGGGAGTTTGAGAAAGAGATTGCCACATCTTCATCATTGTTGACTTGTTCGGTGCAAAAGCTGAGACGGACTGGGAAGATTGAGTTTCTGATTGGCCTTGATTTTGGGATCTGGGAAAATTTCTATTTTTTTGCTTTTGAGGATGGTTTACCAATGGTAGAGGAAGAAATCATGGAGGTTTTGTTAGGAAGATGAAAAATTGAGAGCGCTTTGGCCAATGCATGAGGCATAAATTGAATTGCCCCTACAAAACAAACAAATATATATATAATATACACACACACACACAAATGGGGAAGGGGTGGCAGTGTAGCAGAGGCATAGATGTCAATATCATCTATACTAAATACTGAATTCTATGAGGGAGGAGGATGAGTAGTAGTGGCTGGAGTGCTATGGCTTAGAATTGGCAAATTATGTCCTAATAATGTGTACCACTGTGGCTGACCTGTCATAAACTTGTATTATTTATAAAACTAGGGCAAAATGGATGCAAGAACACTCCTTGAGTGTTTTGTGATCAACGCAAACCTATCAAATTAAGGAGAAATATTATAAGACTAGCTGCATTCTGCAGAAAAGAATGTTAATGTTGAGCACAGAGGAAACAACATATTCAAAATATGTTAGGCCACAAGAAGCTCAAAAAAGAGTAACTTCAAAGAAGAGAGAAAAATAAAATTGGTTCATTTCAAAGCAGGCCTTTCTAGGGCCTTGCATATTCTAGTTTTAGTTTTAGTAGAATCTTGTTTTATGTTCATTTTTAGGATAGTTGGATGCTAGTGTATATGCTTTCTTATATATAGGAGTTAAAGGATATTTTGGTATTTTTCAAATTCGTTGGAGTGGGATGTTGCAGTGGTCTATGTGTCATATATTGAGACATTGAATTTTTATATATTGTTTTAGTAGGCATGAGTTCTATTGGTCAGTCTCTAACTCTAAATATGAAATCTAGTGCTTTTAATTCAATATAGTACAAGTTTAGCAAATTTTCAGTAGTTCTCAAAGATTTTTGGGATTGCACTTTCCAATTCTATCACTAGAAGCAATGCTATGAGAATTGAGGTGTAATACCCCTCTCTCTATATATATAGATCTCTGCACTTCCATTAGTCATTAAAACTCATAATTAAACCTTGTTTCACTAGTCTATCCCTTCCCTCTTTCAATTAATAAAATAAAACCCTGCACCAGAGCAACTCTTATATCATGTGCAAAACTCAACCCTTCCCAGAGTTATTAACCCCAAGTCTTTTGTTATTTTTTCTGTCCTCCAATTCACTCAAATATAATAATTAATTTCTCCAGTGTTTCAAGAAGCCAAAAATTTGGAAATCCTGCAATCTGTCACCTCTTAAAGGTGGTAAATTCCAACCTTTCCACCCGTACAAAGCTTAGACCATTATTTTCCTCTTTAAAATACTAAACCTTCAAGTTTTACTTAACATGAATCTATCAAATGTTCAATCATACCTTAGATTATATAGTGCTTCCATATGTTAGTTTTCTCAGCAGAGCTTCTGGGAGAGTAATTTTGCAATCATCCTACATTAATATGCGTGTATCTGAATTTTTAATTGGATCTTCGGATGGTTTCTTCGATGGAAAATTAATTTGTATTAGAATCTTGTGATGGTAGAGGACAATAGTTGGATGAATGAGTGTGTATAGGCAAGTCAGAAAAGGAGTTGCAGCTGATTTCATTCATTAGAATGTAACAGTAGCATCAACCTGAACAAGATGGGGAAAGTCAGTCGAGATCTGTTATTTTCACATAATAACAAAGATTCCACATATAAGGAGTGAAAAGGTTCAGAAGGAATTAAAAGAATGGAAGTCCAGAGAGGATCTGATTCGAGGTTTTGAGAGAACCACCGATGCTCTTTAATCACAGAAGTAGTTGTAAAACTGTGCATGACCAAATATGAAATTGAGTTGGATTCTGAATCTAATTTAATTTAGAAGTAGTAATTGGTTCATACCAAAAGAACATAAATTTTAAATAGAACCAGAGAAAATATAGCATATCATAAGCTATTTTACAAGAAAGTTCTTTTAAGCATTAATTTTATTAATTAAACCTTCCGCACGAAATGTTGTTAAAAAAATTCATTCTCGTGGCAATGGTCTTGTCAAATGCTTTAATGTATGGCCCTAAATATGGTTGGTTAGATATATTTATATATTTATGTAACTCAACTCAACAAATCCTTTCCTCAACTACTTGAGGTCAGCGACATGAATCTTAATGTTCTATTCCATTTTATCTATAAGGCCATAGCCTTAATCAAGCCACATGTTATCATATCTTTCTTTATTAACTCTTTCCATGTAAATTTTGGCCTGCTCCTTTTTCTTTTTCTTTTTTTGATCAAATAAATTTTGGCCTTCTCCTTCCCTTAGCATTACGTGCAGAGTCCTATTTGCACATGTCCAATCCATCTTTTAATCGATTCTCTCATTTTATCTCCAATTTGTGCTACTGCAATTATCTTACAGATGTGTTCATTTCTAATTCTATCCTTTCTTGTCTTGCCACACATCCATCTTCACAATTGCATTTTTGCCAAACTCACTTTACGCAAACGTTGTTTCTTAGCTACCCAACTCTAATAGATATATGTGTGTGTGTGTGTGTAGCTCCAAGTAATTGTGATGTGGCTTTTTGTTGATATATACATATATATAGTTTTCAAGTTCAATATTTTTATTTATTTTTCATTGTAGTATGAATTGGGATGTGGCTTTCCTATCCGTATTTACTGACACGCATTTTTGTGAGTTAATATGCTAGTCAGACATGTACCACCTTTTTATAATGGATTTGAGCAACTAAATTCTGAAATGCTTGAAAGTTGATTAGTTGACTTAGCGGCCAAAGCTCTTTCATCTTTCCAGTTGTTTTATATTTTTTATTGTTCAAACTGTTTACCCTCTTTTATTTTGTGAAATATACAAACACCAAGCCTTTTCCCAATTACTTGGGGTCGGTTACATGAATCCTATGTGTCCATTCCACTCTATTTAAGGCTATAGCCTCAGTCAATCCACATGCTATCATATCTTTCTTTACTAACTCTACCCACATTAACTTTGGTCTTCCTCTTCCCCTAGTATTACCCTCAATGTGGACCATGTCACTTTTCCTAACTGGCGCACTTGCACATGTCCAAACCATCTTTACCAATTTTCTTATTTTGTGAAATATGTGTTCAAATAATTTGATGAGCTGCATATTCTATATTTTTTAGACATCTTACCTCTATATATAAATCCTTTATGTCATGTTGATAAGAACTTTTAGTACTTGACTACCTGAAGAGGAGTCTCACTCACATATTGAATTAAAATCCTAAAGTTCTTAAAAGATGTTAATGTAGTGAGGTGCTGTATATGTTGCGCTGACACTACTGTCATCTTATGGGGAGGGATGTAACTGTGGAACTATGCAGGATCACTTTATCACTCAACTGAACTCAAAAAAGGCTTTTGGCCACTATTTGGGGTCGACTATCATGTCATGCAGTACTATCAATTTGATGCTAATTGTGAGTGCATGCAATTTTAAGTGTCTTGTTTTAGTGACTTCTGATAAGTTTTCTCTTCCATATTGCAGTTTAAATGCACGACTTGTTCGCCGAAGGTTAAGGCATATTGCCTTAAGGTAACTATTAGTTTTCCTTTCCTCTTGTGAATTTAACATCTTAATGTTTGGAGCTGTTATCATTTTTGTTTCACTACAGTTGCTGTATGATCTTGTTGTGGATTATCACTATAACCAGCAGATGTTTACTTCTGAATTCTAATATAAGGATAATTCTTTGTTGGGATGGTCTCTCTAAGAATATATTCTTCCCTGTTCCTTTTCCTTCTGTTATGTACTGTAAAGTACTATCAGGTCATTCTAAAAGTATCACCCTACATTATTGTCAACTTTAGGCAGACACAGACTGACAGAGGGCCGGAGGGAGGGGAATGTTGTAGAACTTATGTGTCCATGTGGTGAAGTTCCTTAATAGGCCCTTATAACTCCTCTAATGAAAGCTCTTGAATATATCAATGCATTTTTTATGAGCTTGAATAGCCTCTGAACGTGTGTTTAAATCTCATTTAAAAAATCTACGCCAATGTTTCCGAACTACTACATCAAAATGATGAAGCTTCCCTAATAATGGACCTTATAACTCCTCTAATGAAATTTCTTGAATTTCTTGATTCATTTTTTGCTTAAAGAGCCTCTGAATTTGTATTTAATGTCACTTCAAAATTTATGCCAGTTACATCAAACACCTTATGGCCTTTTAATTTATTGATATTTATATTAATGAACATTTGCTGTCTGATTATTAGGGGAACTGTTATTCACAAGAAATACTTCTATGGATCAGTTACTTTGCTTCCACTATCAAGTGCCTTCATGGTATGTATATGTTTAACATTAGAATGTTAGCTTCCTATTTATCTTCTTTGATTTTCTTTTTGTTAATTCTCAAAGTTACTTCTCACTCTCTCTTAAATATGAGAGAGAAAAAAAAAATGTACATATTATCTTGAAAATATATTGCATGCTCACTTTCTTTATGTTTCTTTAAATTGTTTTGCAGGTTCTACCTTTGCCTAACATCCCATTTTTTTGGATCCTATTCCGCACTTACTCTCACTGGAGAGCTCTCCAGGTGAGTAATGGCACATAACTAGCTGAGCATCTCTCAAATGTGTGGTGATGTCTCTCTCATGATACAAGTTACTCTGGATAGTTGTCAATGAGGACAGGAGTTTCATAGGATCTCATGTTAATGCAGGATGAATGTTTCCACTATCAAATGAATCCCTGCCGCAAATTATTTTTACTATGTTGTTTTAACGTGGGTTATCTTTCTGCCCTACCCACTATTTGTGCCCTAACCTGCAGTTAAATTGAACTACATATGGAATCATTAGTATTCATTGCACTTGAGCAAAGGGTCTCAGGATGAATTTTAATCTCATGTAATTCTCAGTTCATGTCTAATCACACCAGTATTTGTATGTGCCGTTCTAGTATCCTTATTTGTTCAGGACACCCATTTCATCTACTTTCTGTTATGGATGTCAAGAATCTGATACCCTCAAGCTCTTGATATCTCTTATCATATAGCACTCCACTGTATTTATCCTATTTATGTGGTCTACATCCGCTCAGCCTCCTTATGGATGATTGAAAGATGATATGGAAAATATCAACTGAAATGCTCTTCATCACACTCCCCCATTATTGTTTTTGTTGTTGTTTTTGTTTTTGTTTTATATGCTTTTTCATTCCAATTGTCATTATTTTAATTAATTTCCTAACAACTTTGTAGCAGGACTAACCATCTTTACTGTTCTTAATTTCCTCTCAATCTAAATATCATGTGAACTATCTTTCATATGGTTGATGAACTGTATAGATGATGATGTTCAGATGCATGGAACGGCTCAGATATCTAATATACTCTTCTTTTTTCTGTTGACGTTTATTTTTCAGGGAAGCGAAAGATTGCTTCAGCTGGTGTCAGATTGCCCGGAGAAACAAAACTCGTCCGATGTGAAAGCGAGCACAAGTAAAACTGCTCATGATAGCTCTGAAAATGGAATCCACAGTTCACTTGGTCCTCCATGGGTATGCAATTTCATGCTTTTTTAAAAATTATTTGGAGATAATTGAAAATTGATGGTTATTCACAAAAAATGCTCGTCATGCCCTAAGATGCTAATTTGTTCTTTGTGGTTAGGTGTTGCAACCGTCAAAGGAACTTGAGAAGCTTCTTCATCACGGAGATGCCGATGATGGTCTCAGCAAGTCTATCATGTCAGATATCTGCAAGACATATCATTTGAACACTGCGGATGTTATAAAATACAAGGATTCAATGTAATTGAAGGTTAAAACTAATTTATTTGTTGGCATCTTGGACATGACATTACCAGGTTTAATTGAATTGCCATTTTATTCTTTTGGCTGTTATGCATTTGCAGAAAGGGTTAGCAACACCATGGTTGGATTTTGGTTTAAATGAGTGTTTCTATATAGAATTCTGATTTTAGGTGAGTGATGATATTACGCAAAAGTGGTGATTCGTGACTGCCTATTGGTCCTGGCAGCTTGGATGATTGAGATACTTTTAGGAAGTTTTCATAGTTTTCTGTAAATATTTTTATGTATTCAAAATGCAAGCAACGCACCTACAATTTTATTTATTTTTTTCCTGATAAAACTAAAAATGCAATTACTTAGTAAAATATTTTAAAAATAATCTTATAGACTTGAGTAAATGTATTGAGTTACTTTGAGTATTAATTTAAATAAAAAGAGGTTATCCTTTTAAAATATATATATATTGCAAGCTAAGAAATCTATACATTCTTAAAGAAATATTGTTTAAAATTTTATAAATGAAAGATCAAAGGATTTTAAAACAATCAATTATTTTAACTAAGTAAAGTAAAACTAACAAGTGTCTATAATTTGTTTGCAAATATATATTTACACACACACTTAATACTTTTAACTACTCTATTTTCTTAGGAACTTGTTTTAATATTTTTCTTATAATTGTAAATAATGGAAACAAAATCGTCAAATTTCGTAGTAAATTTTTTTTTTCTTCCTAATATTTAATGTTGTATTTTATTTGGTATTAGTAACATTTTGGTTTATTATTATTTCTAGTAAATATTACATGTGATTGTCATTCAATTCATAATAAATGGTTATGATTTCGAGCATTTGCAATATTGCAAACTAAATTTGACATTTGATAAAATTGAATTATGTTAAAAATAATATAATTGAATTCATAAATTAGAGAATGAATTGTTTAGAGGACCTTAGGTGTTGTGTAAAAATATATGTAAGAAAATATAGTTTTAAAACTTTATTTTTAGGAAATAAATACATAGTAAATAAATCAAAGCCTTGGATAATTTACCACTTGTAAATCACAATCCTACACATCTAACGTTTATAGAACTGCCCAAACTGGGTGACTTAAGAAGTCTAGTTTCCAGCTACACCAGTCCCCATATAAGAAGTATAGTTTCCAGCTAGCAACATTACAATTCACTTTGTTTGTTTCCCAAGAAAAGCTTTTGCCGGGTAAAAGTTTGCAGTGTCGAAGAGAAATCAATGGCGATTGAACACATCGATGATGTCGTGGACGAGAAGAATCCTCCTCCTCTCGACGAGGACGATATCGCTCTCCTCAAAACTTATGTATTGTTATTTTTCCTTTATAGCAATACTAAATCTGGAGCTTTTGTTGTGTATTTTGATTCTCCTTGATCTACAAATTAAATAGAAAGAAAACCTAGTTTACAAAGTGCAATTTTTTTTTTTTTCTTTTCTTTTCAAAATCATGTTTTTAATTTCTGTTTTGATATATATTTTTTTCATCACTAATGCTGTATTTTCCTTTCTCACGGAATAGATTTATTATGATGTTCTGGGAATTAATATTATCCTTTGTAAGTAACAATCGATTGATATTTCTATAGAGAGGGAAATTGCAAAACTGATGTGTGAAATAATTTCGATCTTAAAGTCTTTATGGTTTACCGGTTTTAGTGTCTTCTTTGCCTCCTCTTAAAGTCTTTTAGGGTTACTGGTTTTAGTGTCTTCTTTGCCTTTGACTTGTTGGAAGATTAGACTCTAGCGGTTAAATCAGTGCTATAATGCAGACTGATCATATCCGCTGGAATGATTTATGATTTATGTGTATTGCAGGGTTTGGGACCTTATTCTGCCAGCATAAAAAGGAATGAGAAGGAAATTAAGGATATGGCTAAGAAGGTCAATGATTTACGCGGTATGTTTCTCATTAGAACTGTATTATTTATTATGGAGTCCTGATTATCTTTGCTGTTCAAAAGCATTAGTTTATTGCTTAGATTTAGTGAGAGTTTTCTCATGTTTAATCCGTTATTCCTCATAATGTATGTATGTTTTAACAACAGATTCAAACTAGTGCTTCTTGTTACTGTTCTCCCTTTTCATAGGAGTCTAAAACCTTCTTCCAAGTACTCCTTGTTCATAAGAGGTATGGAATAGAGCAGTGCCATGTCATTGCTCCTGAACCAGCACTTCATTCATTCTTTTCTTTTCGTTTTCCCCCTAGCAAAAGGAAATAACACATTTACCTTCAGAAACAAACTAGCCCACCTAATCCAATACACTTTCTCTGTTCTCTTCTGAGAATAGTTCTCAGCTTTCATAGAGAGAGAGTGAAGAGAGTAATTATAGTGTGGTTGATCAATACAAAGTACAAACGTTAACAAACTGGGCTACTAGCATATTACATAATAGTTGGATAAAAATCCAAAAAGTTTGTTTGGTTCCCAAATTTTCATAGTTAAAGATATCTTATGCCCATACAGGTCTAATGAAATTTGATTATTTTGTTTTTCCTATAAAAATATATATATAAAAGGTGCATGGATACTCGTATGTCTAGAATGGAACATCTATATCCACTATAGATTTATAAATATATGCTAAATTTCATTTGAATAATTTGAAAACAAGTGAAACATACTAATATATTGTAGTTGAAGAAATCCAAGTATCAAGCGTAATATTTTGGGGTAGAGAAAGACTTCTTTCTTGAGTTTGAGTGGGTTGGAAGGTAATTGACTTTGTCCAAGAAGACCCATCTTAGTTTGTTGGTGTTTTAAATTCTTCATAATCAAGAGAACAAAAAAGCCAAGGCTCGTTTGCAGCCCTTGCTTATTGGCCCCCACAATACTGGTATCAAATTTTACAAGCTGAACTTGAACTTAAAATGTCAGAACAAACATTCAGATATGGTGTCATTTAATTGTTATTTTCCCCACACGTGCGCGCACAGAGAGAGAGAGAGAGAGAGATTTGCTGAAATTTTCTTATCAAAGATGGGCGTGGAGGGATAGAGATGAGAGATGATACCAGGCTTGAGGCATGTTTGATTTCATTTCCTTTTTAAGAAGAGGAAGAGTGGGAGGGTCATTAATATGATGCACTAGTAGTGTTGTTCTGTAGAGTGTTGTATATTTATTTCTTCTTGTTTTATACGGTTGTTGCCTTCTGTATTTTTTTTTCTTTTGTAAAGGTAATTGCCTGATCAGCAGTTCTGTTTATAACTTTTATGTGTCTGGATACAGCTAGTTAGGCATTGTACCCAATCATCCTGAGCTATGTTGTTGGTCTTCATCTTACTATAGGTATCAAGGAGTCTGATACAGGCTTAGCTGCACCCAGCCAATGGGATATTGTTTCCGATAAGCAAATGATGCAGGAGGAGCAGCCCCTGCAGGTGTGGTTTTCTGGCGGTTGTTGGAATGAAATTTATTGCTGGTGTGTGTGTGTGTGTTTTCCTGAAACTAATTGGTTCTTGCTTTTAGGTGGCAAGATGCACAAAGATCATCAGCCCAAATTCTGAAGATGCAAAATATGTAATAAATGTTAAGCAAATCGCAAAGGTATTTTTCTAATGGATCCATCATATCAACCTATGTAATTTTCTTTCTTTGCTTTTAATTTTTTTGCTGATAATTTTCCTTGTTAATTTGAAATATGAAGTTAATGATTGACTGGTTGAGGCTTCTCAATTAAATCTGTATATGTGTGTGTGTGTAGCTATATTTTTAATTAAGTTTCTTCCTTAATAAGAAGATTTGAGCAAATTTATGAAGGCTGCAAGCCTGCAACTTTAGCTACATTACCATAGTGGGTAAACTCCTAGAGTATGCCAATTTTACCGTGACAAAGGAACAACAATTTTATGCAGACTCGGATTTTTAAGCATAATGTTCATCCAGCTGGAGATGTGACCAAAATCCTTATTTTTCATTAAATGACCTATAGTCTATCTTAATAAAATTGGGTATGTGTGTTGGGTCTGAGTGTGTGTCCAAGCATCAGATACGTCAAATCCCAAAAGGACGCATGGGACATTGCTAAGCATATTATATAATTTTTTGTTTTATTTTTTAGAGTAAAATAATCTGTCTATGTAACATAGTGTTTAACATAAGCATTTAACTTGTTTTGAAACAATAATATAATAAATTTGAATTATTGGATTGTTTTTTAAGTGCATGTCCAACCAAAAGTGTTGGACACATATCCCAAATCCATGTCCGAGTATTGTGTCCGGCACGAGTACTTCACCTACTATTGAAGAGTCCATGTAACATAGCTTATAATAAACTTGCTCTTAAAAAAAAAGGCATAGATTTGAGAAATAACTTGCTCATTCTACCAAAGATTTTAAAAGTTTATCTTTTAACTTGAAAACTGAATTTTTTGATATTTAGATTTACTTTTTAGCCATGAATACAATCATCTCATCTGACTTCAGTCTTTCTTCTCAACTGCAGTTTGTTGTTGGGCTGGGTGACAAAGTTTCCCCTACTGATATTGAAGAAGGAATGCGTGTCGGGTAGGTTCCCTTCAATCCACCTATAGAATATTACAGAGCATTTTAGCCTTGTGTTTTGCAGTACCTTACACGAAGTTCTCATATTTTAGGTTCTCTATTATATATTTCACAATTTCTCATATTATACTTTTATTTATTTATTAGTATATGGCATGAGTTGGTGTCTACATTGGAGAGAATCAGAATTTTTGAAGCCAAAAGTAGTTTTTTGGCCATGGGAATTTTCTTACTATGTGATAGTACAACATTGTCACAAGATGACCAAGAGTGGCATCGTAAATTAATGCCAATTTGACCCAGTTGTGTGGCTTAAGTGCACAACTTGATGAGTCACAACTTACATGCAATTCATGTTTTATATGATTTGCTGTGGATTTGTTTGGTCTCCTTAGATCTCAACCATCTAACCATGTAACATATATTGGTATTTTAGAATTAATATGTAGTTGCATAAATTTGTAAATAAACTACTATTTGGAGTATCTATTTTTATTCACAACTATATGTTGTAGTTGATTCTACAATTTTTTATAAAACTGTTGCTTACAATTTGGTGTAACTTGTTAGTACATAATTTTACTTAGCTTCTTATTAATTTGACAATCATGGTGCCACTGCAGTGTTGATCGGAATAAATATCAAATTCAAATTCCCTTACCACCAAAAATTGATCCAAGCGTAACCATGATGACGGTGGAGGAAAAGCCAGATGTAACATATAATGATGTTGGTGGATGTAAAGAGCAGATAGAAAAGATGCGAGAGGTGTGTGATATATTTTCCTGTTTAACATTTCTGAAATTGTTTTTCCTTTCTTTTCTTAAAGATGTGAAGGGTTTGCTCAGTGCAATGTTAAGTCTAAGGGCAGTCACTTGGTGCAAAATAGTACCAATGTGAAGTTTGTCTCTAGTTTTCCCACCCTAGCCACCCCTTCTAGGTGGGAGACATATGTTGAGTAATGCCCTTTTGTTAACCTATCTAATTATAATAGGTTACATCATTTTAAAATTCTGGTTTGTTACCATATTTATATTTGGTTGCTCTTGTTAACCACCATCTATTCTAAAAGCTTAAGTTGTCACATGTGGCCTTCTTTTGGTCCATCCCGTGTTTCAATTTTTAATTATTTGGGTTACGGTGAGGCTTGAACTCAAGACCTTTTCTGCTCTGATATTATGTTAACCTCCATCTACTCGAAAAGCTTAAGCTTATAGAGAGGGTGTAACTTTAATTGTTAAATCCTCTTACAGCATTTTAGTACTTATGATATAAGGCTTCTATGGTACTGATTTTCTGACTTCTGGTGTAGGTTGTTGAGCTACCCATGCTACACCCTGAGAAATTCGTGAAGCTTGGAATTGATCCTCCTAAAGGTGTTCTCTGCTATGGTCCTCCTGGAACTGGTAAAACACTTTTAGCCAGAGCTGTGGCTAATAGAACTGATGCATGTTTCATTCGTGTTATTGGAAGTGAGCTTGTTCAGAAATATGTTGGTGAGGGGGCTAGGATGGTCCGTGAACTGTTTCAGGTACAAGTTGTCTTGTGTTAGAAAAGCTAACCCTTGGAGCTATCTTAGCATCTGAATAACACTTTCATTTTGGCAGATGGCACGTTCCAAAAAAGCTTGCATCGTGTTTTTTGATGAAATAGATGCTATTGGAGGTGCGCGTTTTGATGATGGTGTGGGTGGAGACAATGAGGTTCAGCGCACCATGCTCGAGATTGTGAATCAGCTTGATGGATTTGATGCTCGTGGAAACATCAAAGTTCTAATGGCAACAAACAGGTTTAGTTGACAGTATCAAGAGCTGTTTCTTTCTTCTTCTTCTTCTTCTTTTTTTTCGTTTTTTTTTTTTTTTTTCTCAAATATCATTCATGTATTGCATTTATGAATTGCATCTTCATTCGCGGTGTTCATTTGGGATAGACGATATCATATTATTTGATACCTATGGTGTTTTATCATATTTGATGACAATAAACACGTGTATTTTCTGCTTGTTTTCTTCCATCTCTGGTTCTTTTTTTTTTTTGTTCCCTCCATGGGGTTTGCATCTCATCGACAACATCCACTCTGGCTTCAATGTTAACTTCAGGCAATATGAAGAATTTATAACTGAACATTTGGAAAGTAGTAATAGTCATCGGCTCTGGTTTTATATTCTTATAAATTCTTCTATTATTTTTTTCCCTGCATTTGTTTGTATTTTTTATTCTTCTATTTGGGTTGTGGATAGGGGAAGGAGACTTGGCTTGAATTTGGATTGCGTTTCTGTACTTTGTTGGTAGTTTATATTGATTTATTATTATTTGTCTAAGATTGTGAACTAGCACCCCATTTTATTAGACAAAGGATAATTTGTAATCCAATGACGTTTTTCTGTATGAATTTTAGTAGCTGACCAATTTGCTTACCATCTGCAATACCTGCTTATACTGTGGCCTTTGTTTATACCACTTTTCAGACCTGACACGCTGGACCCCGCACTATTACGTCCTGGAAGGTTAGATCGCAAAGTTGAATTTGGCTTGCCAGATTTGGAGAGTAGGACACAGATATTTAAGATCCATACACGAACAATGAACTGTGAAAGGGATATTCGATTTGAACTTCTAGCTCGCCTCTGTCCAAATTCTACTGGTAAGAATGCTACCCTTTTACCTTTTATGTTGCACATTTATTATATAAGAATTTTTATACTACCACCATTGCGGCCAAAAAAAACGAGGAAAGAAATTTTTAATGCATTATTTAGTTTAGTGTTGTCTACTATAGTCATTGTCATCATTATTACTATTACTATACAAGTATTGAGATAATGTGAGATGAACAACTACTCAATCTCATTTCATGATTTACCTATTAAAAAAGGGTAGGAAAAAAATAAAAAATAAATAAAATTAAAAAAGCCTGAATGGTAATTTCAAGCTTCTTCGTTATCAACCTTCACATTTTTTAAAATGTGAAGGTTCCTGTTGTATCATTTCCTTAAATTTACGGAGCTGGGAACCTTCTGATGATTGGATAAATAGAGGCTGTCACATATACACTTATTGTCTTCACATATCATGTTGCTTCAATGTCATATTCCGTAAATGAACTGGCCCCTGCCAACATTTATCCGCACAAAGTCTTTCCCCCCACCCACCTTCTCCTGTTTGTGATATTTTATGTTATTTTGTTCTACTTGCCATTGAGGGCATCTACAGTTGGTTTAACATGGATTTCAATACAGGAGCTGACATAAGGAGTGTGTGCACGGAGGCTGGAATGTATGCCATTCGAGCACGGAGAAAGACGGTGACCGAGAAAGACTTTCTTGATGCAGTGAACAAAGTCATCAAGGGATACCAGAAGTTCAGTGCCACACCCAAGTATATGGTCTACAATTGATTGAATGCTTTTGTCGCTCCCTGAGATACTTGCTTCTCGCGGACAATGCAGCTCCAAATTAGACAGCATCTCTCTTCATGGCTATTCTTGAACTCCATCACCGGAACCTGAAACTGCTCGGATTATAGCTATTCATTCACTGTGCCAAGGAAGACTTGAATGCCTTCAGCGGTCTCCAATGTCAAAGTAATAGAGACTGTATTTGGTTATAAATTGCTGGTGTTCTTCGGTTGCATTCCAGATAATGCTGTGTGTTTGATTTTAAGATTGACCAGCACTTTTGTATTTTGAATTATTGATTAAATTAACCTCAGAAACTTTTTGCATTGCGCACAGATTTGATGTTATTTCTTAGTGATACTTTTAATTTAAGGGGGAATTGCAAAAAAAAATCTCTCGACTATTACCCATTTGCAAGAAAACCTTCTTATGAATATTTTTGGTAAAAAAAAAATCCCTTCAACTATCATGAGGGTGATTTTAACTTATTTAGTTAACTAATTTGTGAATTTTTTGACCTTTCAATTTTTTTTTCATTAATTGTTAATTGATCAATTTATTTGTTTATTGTGTTTGTGAGGAAAGGGGATAGAACAATCAATGATATTGTTTGTTTATGTATTTCGTAATCTTACCTGTCTATTGTTATTTGGATTTTACTTGTCACTTCGAATTTGTTTCATAAAAGATAAATTTTGTCCTACAATTGTTCTTTATAGCTGGGTTTGGTCTAGCTCTGTACTTCATGGTATTTTCGTAACTACTTGTAACTACTTGTAAATACTTGTAATTTCGTCAGCAAAAATTGGATCACAAACTAGTTAAACGAGGTTATTCGTGATAGTTGAAGGGAGATTTTTGTCAAAAATATTCATAAGAAGAGTTTATTACAAACGGGTAAGGTTTGATTTATTTCAATAATATTTAAATGTTACATTTCCTTGGGAGATTTCCTTGTTCCCATCAATAACTTTATGTACAAAACACTGAGTTTAGGAATCCAAAGAAATTTATTTTTTTCTTATTGTTTCTATTTATAAAACAACGCATCAAGGATTATGAATATCATTTAATAGAATCTGAACTTTTCTGGAAAAAAAAAAAAAGGTGATAGAACAGCAAGAGCTCTAGTTTCCAAAAAGTAAAAGATGAAATGCAGCTAATCATTTTCCAAAAAATGCCAATTGCATTGTTACAAAGGTGATGTATTGAAGTCCACCGAGGTCTGGTCTTGCTAAATAACACTGTTGACAAAGAGGGATGCCGGATGCTTAGCTTGCCGATAATGGAGGTACTCCTACGGCCCGCCCACCTCATGAACCCTATCTTGGCAACTGAAAGGTTAGAAAACGATCCAAACTCACTCTTTAAGCCAATGGAGGTTATTTCTGTTCTAGAATGTTGTCAACAAAATCTTCATAAGATAATGAGTGGTGGCATTTGAAAACTGAAATAGTCTCATGCGCTGGTAAATTGAGTTTAGATCCATAAAAAAAATAGGACAAAAAAAAAAAAAAATAGCAACTATGTAGAAAATAAGCTGAAAGAGAATATGTTTAGGTTGCAGCAAACGGAGGTACTCACATGGAGCTTATCTTGTCACCTGAAAAATTGGAAGAAAACATAGAACACAGAATTCGAAAAAGAAAAGATTCTAAACTCGCTTTAACCTAATGGAAGCTTCTTCTCTCCCTTTGAATGTCGCCAACAATATCTTCATAAGATAGTGAAGGGCGGCATTCAAAGAGAGAAAGAGCTCCTAGTATGGTAAATTGAGTTTAGATTCATAAAAAAATTTAAAAACAAATAATAATTAAGGAGAGTATGCCGAAATCTTTTCTATATTGCAAGTCTGAAAAGTAAATACTTATATTCATACCTTCCAAGTTAAGGGGTACTCAAAAGAAATAAAGAAAATAGAGTAAATCCAACTTAGATCCAAAATTAAAAAACAAATTAATAATATTTAAAGAGCGGTTGAAACCTTAATCATGTGAAAGAAATTAAATCTATACTACATTGCACCTTAATGAAAACATAAATTATTCACCTATAGAACTAATATGACTAAGAATCTACAATTCAACATTCTTGAAAACATGAAACATGTATAACTTGGAATTCAAATATTGTTACTCTACAAAATTTTCAGACCTTCGTCCATCAATATTATAAAACAAAAACAGAATAATTAACAAAAATAATTACAAACTAATTAATCTTGTGTAATCTTGGTATTTTTTTCAAGCAGGGTGTTTGAATTCGATTAATACGTAGATGCATACGTATAAATATGGTATATAAAACATGAAGATTTGATTAAACAAATGACAAATATATAAACAAGAAATGGAACAATAACATCTATGGAAAACAAAGGGAAAAAAAAATAATTTCAATTGATAATATAGAAATTAAAAAAGAAAGATGTGATTATAAAAACAACATACATATATGCATCGAAGAAACAAGAAAAGAAATTAAATATGGCACACAAATCAAAGATTGAAAGGAAAAGGTAATAAGAGACAACCCATGCCAACTTACTCTGGATGGCTTTGAGAATTAGAGAGAACTTCCGAGCTCTCAAAGAAACTTGATGATCAAGAAACATAAAAATTGATTAAGCAATTAAGACGTACCATGCATGCTCGTAATATAACATAACAAACTAGTTTGTTCGATCTTGAGAGAAGTTGTTGTTGAGAGAGAGAGAGAGAGAGAGAGAGAGCAGCTTGAGGCTAATTGGAGTTTTGAATTTAGGAAAGTATTAGGGATTGGATTTATAAACTAACCAAGTAGGGTATTATTGGAAATAAACAAAATTTGGATATTGGATTTGGATTTGGATTTGGATTGAATTGCTTTTTAATAACGCAGAGAGTATTTAAGGAACCGAAGCCTTGGAAATAATGACTTACGGGCCTCTTTGAGGGCTTTAAATGGACCCTTCTAAAATATATACTTTATTTGGGCTTTATTGATCTAGCTTGAAAGAAAAAGAAAAAAAACTGGTGGTGAATTAAAAATTTCTTATGTTGACAAATTTAAATGAGCAGGCCTATCTAGATTGCCGCCTAATGTCTACCATATAACATAAATCTGTTAAAACTATATTACCAGTATACTATATAATACAGTATAAACTATATAACTGTATGCTGTATAATATAAACTGTATATATAATATAAGTTCTATAGTATATAAAAATGAGTACCTGAAAAAATAAAAAATAAAAAACACAAATACATTTGTCACGTTGCCTTGCTTCTTAACTTTCGAACTTTCAAACTCTAGGTTAAGATTTCGAGACTGGTAGACCAAGCTGGGTTATCCCACTAAGCCCAAGCCCTACCCACCCATTATTCAGGCCGAGTTGGCACATCTGAACAGATAATATAAAGACACTGTTGCTGGTAAATAAATGAATCAGAAGCTGCCATTCCCTTCTCCCCACCAGGGATAGACAGCCTGGTCTCAAAGTGTAGGTTGTAATTGTTGAGAAATTTATGTCCAATTAGTGTGCTAATTTTTATTTCTAAAAATTTCTTTTGAAGAATAAGTACTAGCCTTTCTCCTATTAAGTGTTAATTCTATGTATCAAACATCTTACTTCACATTTTTTCCTTAAAAAGAACAAACTTGTACACTAACTTTATAAATAGAAGACTTTCAAGAGGAAAGAAAAATACTAAAGAAAGCGCCAGCTTAAAAAGAATTATTTAGTATAAACAAACCTCAACTATTTTCTACTTCAGGTATCATACAAAGCAAACCAAGGAGATTTTACATATCGTCACCAGCAGAACCACCCAGAAAGAGGAATGATGAAGAGGACAACCATAGATTTTTTTTTTTTTTTTTTTCCGTTATTGTGGGTGCTTTCATAGCCAAAAAGGAAACAGAACTCGGTGGCCATCTATGATATCTACTCATGCGCATCTGCATTATTTGTCCGCGGAGATGAAACTTGTTCATTTCCAATTGTTCTCTTGCTCATGTTTGCACGCTGCACTAGCCGAACCAACGCTTGGACCACTTCTGACATAGGTGGTCGGAACTCGGGCTCCGGCTGCCAAAAATTATGGTACAGAATTTCAGAATAATACATGGTAGACAGAGATCGACTTTCTAAAAAAAGCAGATGGTACAAATTTGCAACCAAATTATCCTAGACGACATTACCTGGACACACAATGCAATCACATCAGCAAACCGGGAAAGAGATTTAACAGGGTAGAGCCCTTTGAGTGCTGGATCGACCATCTTAGACAGAGCATCAATGTCATGGAGCTGAGGTGTTGCCCATCGAACCAAAGATTGCTCACTTCTTGTCCTTGAGCTGTGCCAGAAATTACTCAAAAACAATCAGTGCAATGACAATAATACATGAATCTCTTTCCATCTCCTTAAAAAGACAGACTCCTGACTAAAACTCCAAATACTTTTACCTATCAAATGGGTTTCGTCCTGTAAGGAGTTCCAACATAACGACTCCAAAACTGTAGACGTCACTCTTTATGGTATATTGACCAGACATGGCAACCTCAGGTGCGCTGTATCCGGACCCAGCATTATGGTTCAGTTCCTGCAGAGGTCAAATTAAATAACAAAAACACAAAGCGAGTGATCAGGAAGGGACTATAAATCATCAAAAAACTGTGTTACCGTTGCTAACACAGTTTTTATTTTCTTTTTTCCGTAAGACATTCATAGAAGTGCTGAGAAGGGCAAATCTAATGAACATGGTAGGTACTTGTGCTGCAAACCTTCTGTACTGAATTCATATTTTGTGGTGAGTAATCAACACCAATAAAATTTCAACTCAGATGGTTTATACAGCTGGTTCAAATTTGGAATTTTGGTATGGTTAGGATTAAGAAACATGGACAGCGAAGTACGACTGAAATGGCATATTTTATCCCAACTCAGGTTTCACAAAAATCATCACCACCACCAAACATAGAGAAGTGACAACAAGTCACAACAGTATCCAACTCTTCGGGTAAGGGGAGGGGGAATATCATCAACTAGACAAATGAAAATACTAAAAAGAAGCCATGTCTATACGGTGCATTGAAAATTAGTAAAAATTTAAAATGCAACTTCACAATTATATAGGGCAGGTGCTTTTTCTTTTATTCACAACATATCTTTCACTTAATTCCTAGTAGCTACTGCCAGTAAAACCTCAAGACCCTTGAAAGGATACCTGATCTGCATCTCGAACAAAGCTTGCTAAGCCAGAGTCTGAAAGGTGAGGATTGAGCTCCATGTCTAGTAATATGTTGGCTGATTTGAAATTTTTATGAACAACTGATGGCGAGCAAACTTCATGCAGATACCTGAAGAGAATTTTTTTATTAGCACCATAGAAGATATGAATATCATGTACAGCAAAAGACATCTAAGAAAGTTTAACCAGACAAAGTATCCCAAAATAGAAAAATAGAAAAATTTATATACAGATACACACACATATGGATGTGACACACACACAGCTGTTAATTTATCGCCTTCAGTTTGGTGAAAACTACCAAGCTTAATCTTAACAGCTTCAGCTTCCAATTTCATATTTGGCCTTAAAATAATCAGATGATTGAAAATATACTAGCCTGTGTGTAATACAATGAGAATTTCATTTCCACAGCTTAGCAATTTTTTTTTTTTTTGATAAGTCCACAGGCTTAGCAATTTCATTTCCACAGCTTAGCAATGATTGCTAACGCCCTAGTCATCTAAATTTGAGTATGCCATTATAATAAATGAGCTTCAATTTTGTAAGTTCTCTATGGTGCCTAGTATTATGAATTATCTGATAAAGCTGTAGAAATAAAGAAGTGGCCTGCTTCCAGTTCAAGCAGATAGACAATTTTTTTTTTTCCTCTTATTATGTTTCAAAACTGTTAAACCTTAAAAGCCATTATATTTGGTTAGAAATATATGGGAAGCTAATATTTTGGTTGCTTTAACAGATTTATGCCCATTTTCTCACAATCAACTTACTCTAATGCCCGTGCAGTCCCCAGAGCAATCTTGACACGGCTGTTCCATGGTATTGGCTTGCTATCTTCATCAGAGAGATGCAGGAAGTCATGCAGAGAACCGTTCTTATGAAACTCATAAACTAGCAGGTTCTGTCCGTGCTCTGAGCAGTATCCCACCAGCTCAGTAACATTTGGGTGATGTAATCTAGATATTTCTGAAACTATATCCATAAAATCTTCAGACAAGTGACCAGGAAGGGCAGAAGAATTTATTTTCTTTACTGCAAGAACCTACAGTATGAAAAAAAAAAATATGTAAAAGTGAGATCACCGAAGATATTACATAAACAATGGGAGCACTGAAAGAGTAAAGCTAAAAGAAATGCAGCAAGCTATCTTTCAAATTTCATATATGTGCTTACCTCAGTCATTAAATATTATCAAATAGTTATAAAAGTTTCAGCTTGAATAAAAAAATTTACTGAAAGGTCTGAATTGCACAAGGATAAGAATATACATTTATATTATCAAATGAATCTGGTAACACATTCATTAGAAAAAAGAGTATACCTTGCCATCATCAAATTCAGCTCTATAAACACGTCCAATGGAACCCTCGCCAACAAGATTTTCAATACTAAAGCTACCTGTTGCCATTTGTAGATCTGCTACTGAATATGATATAGCATTTATTGGAGCTGTATTAACTTTCTTGGGGACTATGGGTTTCCTTGAGAAATCATCTTCATCAAATGATTTAATAGGCGGAGGTCTGAGATTAAAGGAGGCTGAAGTTTCAAATGTCTTTGTGTTGGTTGTGGAGGAAGGTTGAATGGACTTCATTTCTGCAAAATAGATGTCACAGACGTATAATTAAAAGTAAAGCACAAGTAGTTTAATACGAATGAAAACAAACACTAATAACATTGACTTTTAATAAACTAAAAAAAAACAGCCTTCTAAAAATTAGTGGGAGTTCAAGTATGATACAAGGTATCAAGGAGATTTAAACTCAACTAGTTTAAATAGGCCTCTATAAGAAAAAGTAGTACTACTATATGAAGCCTAGTATCATAAACAGGCATTCCTTTTTTAAGATAACTTGATGGTAACTCAGTTCAATAATAGGATTTGATTATTCCAAGTTGAGATATATGAAGTAAAGGGGAAGGAAACCATTCGACCTGCATTCATTTGTTTAATGAATCATTGCACTTGAGAGAAATTTATTGGCATTTTTAAATTTCACATCCTTGACTCTATGCCGCAACTAAAATTGATTTCAGTATCTAAATACACTATTTCATTTGGAGAAATATTACCACCAATAAAATTAACTTCAAAAGGTCACAACTAAGAACATAGGCAAATAATAGAACTCAACTCAATAAAGCATTATTTCTACTTCAAGGGAACAGTTGCGGACGTACAGCTTCTGTTTACAATTCCTTATTTCTTCTCTAATTAGACAATTCAGAGTAATTCATCATGAACTTAATGGGAAGATATTGAAAGATTCAATGTTATTATATCATCTGAGCTCAACTCATTACCCATTTGCACCATTGATTCTGATCAGATGAATATCAATACCAATGAAACTGAATTTTCTCAATACAACTAACTTCTATCAACACAGCTACTTATATCTTTTTGTCTAGTCCTCCTAATTAACAAAATAATATGTGAAGCAAACATAATAACTGAAATAAACAACTCAGTACGTAGAGTCACACCATAATCTTTTACCAACAAACACAGCTTGGTTAATTTTGTACCCAGAGCTGAAAGCCTGACAAACATAGCATGAAATCTCAATGGAGATCTGTTGAAGAAGTAACCTCACAAAAGTTGAATTCTCTCAAAGCACAAGTAATGGTTAAGAATTTATTTATAAGTACATGCAAACGTTACAGTCGTCTGCAGTGTATTAAAAAATAGGCCTTTCTATTTTTTTCCTGGGACAGAATTTCAAAAAAGTTATAGATTGAATACAAATATGGATACAAGGAGTGTCAGTACCTTGCACTTCATGTGAAGCAAGAGAAGTGAAAGGCTGACTATCAAGCTTTTCAACATCCGCGGATGGCTTTCGGGACCTTCTCCTCATTAAAAAGAATGCCACTATTGCACCAACAATTAAAATGGATATCACTATTCCTGCTACACCACCACCTCCTATACCTGATTTTTTGCCCCCACCGCCATTACCATCACCACCAGTTGGACTGTTATTGCTACCAGAATTGTGATTTCTATTGTTATTGCTTGCTGGAGGCGTGCCGGGTGGAGGTGGGGGTGCAGGCCCTGAGCTCCATGAATTACCATCCTTCCTGTTATGAGCATTAAGAATCTCATATTCAAATTGAAAAGAGTTCCCTTCATAGAAATTTAAAAATAAAAACAATAAAATGCAGAGTAAAATGCTCACTGCAGATTTATGTTTTTCAACTGTGCAGGAATCCAACCATTAAAATTGTTATTTGCAACATTCCTGAAATAAAATAAGATGAATAAGCATAAAGAGCCAAATAAGTTGTTTCTTTTAGGGAATCCAAAAATATTGTTCTCTAAGTGAGTGAGAGTTGATATATAGATCACCCACAGGTCATTAAGGGGAAGGTTGGCGAGGACATCAATAGTGCCTGTAAACTGGTTGTTTTGCAAATACCTGAAAAATGATAGAACCAATAACTAAGAAGGAACATAAACATAACAAACTATTAAGCATTTCCAATACATATAATGCACTTACATAGAGTTCATACTTGTAAGGGAGCTGAAACTCTCTGGAAGATTACCCGTCAGAGAATTAAAAGAGAGATCCCTGAAGAATGGAAATTTAATTTGGTTTTCCAGCAAAACAAACCACGAATAATGTACAAGTTTTGAGCAGAACAACCCCAGCCCACCATTTGAGGAGGTAGCTGGCTTATCTAAAAAAAACTCTAAACTGCTTGCTACATGAAAATCTGAATAAGCAGTTTTATTTTATTTTTATATTTTTACTAAAAAAACAGCGTAGATGATAATGGAACATCTCAAGTGTATTAGGGAAGGTATTACCAAAATGCTTACAAAATTGAAAAGTACAAAAATATTTTAAGGTATCATTTCTAATACATCTGTGGAGCAAACTTTAGATACACTGAATGCCCCTAATTCAACACAAAAGAGTAAATGTTCAACTACTTGGGTCAGCCACGTGAATCCTTTTTTGTGGTTCCGACGTATGTCAGACCATAATCACAGACTCCTAGTCAAACCACATGCATCATATTCTTTTTTTACCACTGCAACCCATGGTAGTTTCAGATTTCTTTTACCCCTAGCATTACCCGCAATATGGAACACTTCACTCTTCATCATTGTGTAGTTATTGCTATTTGTTGCACATAGTCATCTTAACCGATTTCAATTTATAATGCTATCATTTTTTCTCTTACCACACTTCCATCTCAACATTCGCATTTTGACCATTTTATAATAGCACAAAATAAAAAAGACAAATCATGCAAATAAACTCCCAAGTTATGTAAAATATGCACAATTTAGGCAATTCCCAAAATTGGAAAGGCGATGGAAGGGGATCTCACAATGTGGAAAGGGACGAAAGCCTTCCAAACATGTCATTCAGTTGACCTGTAAGTTGATTGTGACCAAGATTTCTACAGACGGAGAAACAATAAATAGTTGTTAATTGTAAAACAACTAAATCAAGCTGCATAGGAAAAGACAAGAAAACCAAAATTCAGGATTTGACGAACAAGTATTTAAGGGAAGTCATCTCAGATATTGAATAAGGGATGACTCCATTGAAGCCATTTCCAGCCAGATTTCTGCATTATTAAGAGAAGCAGTAATAAGAATCATGACAAAACTAAAAGGAAAATAGGAGCAGGAAAACCATGCACAAACATACAATTGCGTCACGTTTGGAGGAAGCTGATAAATAATCTGGTTTCCAAGATTATTATTGCTTATGTCACTGCACAATATAGTAAAACAACCACATTAAGGTAATTAAATATAAAGAAAAAATGCATTAAGCATCAACACATCCAGAAGGCCATTGATCTTACAAGATGGTTACTGATGTCATACTAGCGAGCTGGTATCCCATTGACCCAGAAAGTCCAAGACCTGATATTTTGCTGGTGGAAAATTAGCAGCAAAATACGTATTAGATATAAACATCAACAATGATTTTTAAGAATGGCATGCACAAGATATGAAAGGGGAAACATAATATACATTTCTGTGACTCTTGAGCCTGAGCAGGTAATGCCTTTCCAAGACTCCCCACATGGATCACCACCAGTTGAGCTCCATTTGGTTAGCTGCGATGGTGAATTTAAACCGCTATACATGGCCATAAGAGCAGACGCTGTACACAAAACATGCCACAAGTAACATTTTATATCATTTGATTCATTTTTCCAAAGAGAAATTCAAAACAAGTTTAGACAATAGTCCCAGTATTTAACACCACAACTATTTGCCAACAGAGAAAAAAATGTGAAAATTCACTGGAAGAACATATAATAACAGTAATCGTTATATGGAGGACGCAACATCTTCTCCTTCTTGTCACTTCAGTATTAGGCCTCCAACAATCTGGTTTGGCATTAATGAAGAAAGCCCATTTGTACTGTGACAATTGACAGAGCAAAAACAATTTGTAGATCAAGTACAGAACTTTATTTACTCACTTTAATTTGGGTATCCTTTTCCTGCTAGGATTAGAAATCTTATATTTTACAAATCCATTTCCTTTAACTTAGGTCTTCCAAAGTTAAAACCATCCCATTTCTCCTTGAAAAAAAGTACTCAAACCGTCCATTTGAAGCCAAGAAGTCTCCTTGGGTCCTTCACTGAAGACTAAAGATTGAAAATTGGAAGCATTCCTCTTACTTGGAGGATGAAGACTAAAGTTTGGTGTTCAAGACCTGATTCAACTTTTGTTTCGTTTATTTATAAGAAGTTAATCCTACACTAAGGGGTCTGGTAATGCTATTGTTTCTAGTGTCACAGAACTAAAACATACAGAAAGTAACTAAAATATCACAAGCACACACTGTGCACAATAAAGGTAACACAAATACTAGAAGATAAGCTTTACGAACACAACAGCTGAATCTTTTCTCCTAATAAGATTTTATTTCAAATCTTAACCCGTACTTGATTGTTAATACAAGGGCCATATTGCATAGATGGAATTAGAGATTGTCATGAAAAAGTACAAGTATAAAGCAAAAATGATGTGCAGAACAGGCACGCTGTCTAGAAGAGAAACTGAAAAATAATCTCAATAATTGAACCTCTTACAACTTGAATATAGATTTAGCTTTCTACACATTCTTTAGAAATGAACAATTTTAAGTATACTATAGTCCCGTAAAAAAATATCATACACCTTTAAAAGTGGATGGAAAACTGCTTGCCATTTTCTTCTTAAACATCTCCATTCAAGATGAATGTTATAAATTGGGGACTATCATGCTCTCTGTAACACCTTCCTCCAACCCAAAAACCCAATACCCCAATAAGGAGGGCAAGAAAAAACTACACAAATAACCTAAGAGCCATTAACCAGTAAAGTTCCTTGATAATCAAGAGTTTTTGGAGGGATTGACTGGGTAACCCTTTGGTGTTATAAATAACCTCTTAATACATTATTAAACTGGTCTAGGTCTCGCCAAACACACCCCCAAATTGAGTTGTTTCAAAGTACTAATTCTTCAAAATGATTGAATTCGGAAAATAACAAAGTCAAATATAAGCAATCTTAAGAAAAAGGGTTCTCAATTTCTTGATATCACAATTCATGAACACAAATCTCCCCTTTTCCAACTTCAATACAAAAAATCTCTGGTGAAATTCAACTTTTAGTCACTAAGGCATTCAAAGAAGAGCAAACATCGTCACATCCAAAACAGTCAGAACCTCATCCAGTAGTCGAATCAATGTTTTGAAACAAGAAAACAAACATCCTCTATACTCATTTGAGAGGTTCTTCCCATAATAATCCCAAAGTGCATTATAAATGTGAAACGGAAATTTTATCAGAAGCAAAGAACAAGCGATAAATATAGTTACACATATAAATATACACACACATGCATATATATAAAGTTACTGGAATCAGAGTAGCTGGACAGATTAAGCAGAAAAGTGCTGACCATCTGTTGAATTTGTGGCGCCATTGATTGAGCTCGCTCCTAACACCAAAATGCCGATGACCAGTACCACCACCACCTCCCTCATCTCCCACATCTCTCTCTCTCCCCCTGAACAAAAAGCTCAATCGACCCCTTTTTACTTGAAAATAGTATATATATATATATATATATATATGTATGTATATATTTATTACTCTGTTTTTCTAGAGAAAGAGTTTATACTTGTACCCATGATAAGTAAAGCTGGCAGGCACGATCTGCTAGAAGAATCCAAAGCCACAGAAAAGCTTTCTTTATGTATATTTATATATACGAGTATATATACGTATGTATATTGTACAGAAACACGGTTTCTTGTTAATTGTATATAATTTGTATAAATAAATAAAACAAAATGCTGCAGAAGACCTTACCCCAAAATAGAACAGAAAAAACAAAATGTTGAAGAAGTAGCTTTCACCATGAGGGAATGACAATATTACTGATTTGTTGTTACTTTTAACGCCGTCTCCCGTCGAGTCCAACATTTTAGAGAGAGAAAGGAAGAGAGAGAGTGTCACGAGGATTCCGCAACGAGATTCGGTTCACTGATTGAACGAGTACAGAGTCAATCTTTACATAATTTAGATCTACTACACTGTAAAATCAGCTACAAAATCTAATTTTAGAAAATGATATTGGCATTATGACTTTTTACAATAATAATAATAATAAGTGGACATAATTGTCATAAAAATCCGCCTAAGTATCCTAGGATATAATTTCTTTCATTTTTTTTGTTTTTTATAATTATGTTCAAATAACGTAAGGTAATAAATAATGATGTTGATACATGCATTATTTCATCAAAATCTCATTATCATAATAAAACCTTACAAACAAGAACCACAATTCCTTCTAATAATAAACTTCCCTTTTAAAAATATCATCATCACATCTTAAATGATCGTTGACATATTAACACTGTCATTATAAATGATGGAGAACAAAAAAACATAATTAGTATTTTTTGCCCTAATTAAATATGTCTTTAATTAGTATAAAAAAAGAAAAAAGGGTGGAGAGAAAATAGAAAGGGAATAATGAATTTTTTTTTTTTTAATTCTATATAGAGATGATATGAGGATGAAAAGGAGAATAGAAAGGATAATCATTAGCAAATTTTCATCCATTCAAAAATGAACAGAAGAAAGGACAAATAAATTATTATAGAAATTTTAAATTAAATACTATCTTAAATTATAAATATTTTAAATTACAGTACTATTTTCTATAAATTACAATATTATAAATATTATTGGATATAATGTTAAAAACAATTAAAAGTTTTTCTTTCATAACGTAATAATTATTCCTTTTTCTTCTATCCAACTACCAAAAATAATAATAATACATGATCGCTTCCCTAATGATGTCTTATCAATCCCTTTATTTTCTCTTCCATTCAATTTTTTTTGTTTCCTAAGGAACCGAACATAAATCAACAATAGAGTTAATTCATGCAATGTATTAAATCATGTTGCAACGTTATTATACCGTTAATTTAACGTATTTATATAATTTTTTGCATTATCAATTTAAAATTATTGTATTGACAATGTAAAATTATTAGCTGTGTGATATAACTGTGTTACAAGGGTGCACAAGATCCCTAAACAAAAGGGATTCGGGTTCTTACTCAATACTCTCTATAGAACTTGCAACTTTTATATATGTATATTCTTTTTTTATCTTTCTTTCTTTATATGTAAATATACAAATGTGTGAATGACTGAGGACAAAATCAATTTATGTAACAGTCTGCTAAAAAACAAGGACAAAAGTCAATGAATTTTGATTAGATGTTATGTTGGTTAAAGGCAAAGGCACTAGGGTTTTCAAGGAGGGATTGGTTTTCTTCCACTTCACGAGTCTAAGAAGTTTGGCAAATTGCAAGTAAATGTAGAGTGTGATTGCCCTTTCCATAGTCCATCACGGAGTTAGGTAGGCCACAGAAACGGATAAATCATAGAGAGTTTAAAAGGGGTGTTGCTTTCGGTGCTAGGTGAAATTCTTTGTCTTGATGCCGTTGTTTGCCACCCAGTAAATTGCCACTTCACTTTCAACTTTCTGTTGGTTTTGACTATAAAATCCAGCAACTTTCATTTGCTTCCAAGACTAACTCCAATATATATTATTAAACCAACATCCTAAAATGTTTAGAGCAACAAAATTTAATGCTCCTAAAGTAGTAATGACTCGGTATCACACGTAATAATAGGATTTATTTATTGAAATAATATATTCTTAGAACTCGTTTGGATTGTTGTTGGAATTAAAAAAATAATAATAATTTTATCAATAGAATTGTCAAAAAAAACTGTTTGACGGCAAATTATAATAAATATTTCTATTGCTAATTTTATAATAATATCCTTTAATAGGGTATTATCATATTTGATAATAGTAACTTTATTAAAGAATGAGTGTAAGAGTATTTACAGCAGTATATTAAAATACTCGTTTGTGTAAAATATCACGTATGATATGTAAATATTTTTTTATCTCCAACAGTCTATTAAGATATTGTCACTAATGTGCAAAATTGTTGTATTTTACACAACCTTTTTACACCGCCACATCAATATATTTCTTTTCTCCTCCCTCTTTCTCATTCTATTAACTAATTAATTATATATTAAGTAGATTTGTAAAAATGATGTGCATGACACTGGTTGGTACTAATTAATCATATATTAAGTAGGTTGGTACTAATGAATCATATATTAAGTAGGTTTATAAAAATTATGTGCATGAGACTGGTTGATTGTTATTGGAGGATATATTTTTACACAAAAGGTATAAAATAACCGCCTCCAAATTTTTTGTATAAATCTATTATGACACGATTTACACAAAAAAAATATACACAATGGTTGGAGATATTCTAATTATCTTTATAAAAAATAAAAATGACTTAATTGACTAATGAAAAAGAGTTATATAAAATATTCAACGTCTACTTATAAGATAATTTTAAAAATTCCTAATATCTAAATGTAGTTTTTCAAAATAAAGCAGTCAGGTTCTTATTTGAAATATTAGAATTTAAAGTTTAATGTAACAAATAAACCGATGAATTGGGGTCCTATCTAAACAAAATAGAATTGTATTGAAAGAGTAAAAATTCATTCTTTATTGATCATTGCTTTCTATATATATAAGATTAGTTATAGAAAGTTTAATTTACTACAAATTTGAAAATAGCCCAACTTTAGTAGCGATAGAATTCTACAAAATGTTTCACATGACTCTAAAATCACGAAGGTAATGGAAAATAAGTGATTTTTGCTTAATTGAAGAAAGACCCGTTATCATCTATACCATTCTTGCATCATAGGGAGAAAAATCCCTTCATCCATTCACTTCGGTTTCAAAAATCAATTTTAAAATTATTTTTCAAATTTTTTATAATTTTTATGTTAAGAATATTTTATATCATAGTTGTCTGCCAGTGGCACAAGATTTTGAGTACGTACAAGAACTGTTATTTAGACAAAATTTTGTTAACAGTGACTAATCCAATCAGCTTCAATTAGTGGAAATATCATTTTCATAATGATACGTGCATATCTTTTTAAGGTTTATTTACTTGAATTCTCTCATGTTGGGAATCGAATTACTTTTGGAGTAAAGCACATTTGGCGTTTAGGAAGCATGCAAGAATAAAAAATCTCTTTTATATTAATTGTGTGAAGATAAAGGAGTTTGGGAAGTGGAATTTGCCCACATAAATTGGATTTATATCTGACAAAAGTGACCATTTCTCTCCGATAACTATTTTTAAAATGTGTTTTTGGACTTTTATATAGTTAGGGTGTTCCCCAACTTGTCATTAAAAAATTGTTTGCTAACTTAATTTAGTAGTAGGTGTAAGACCTACATTTTCTCCATTAGAAGGTAAAAATTTCTGGTTTTTTCATATTTTCATAGTGAGTGATTTTTAGTGGTATACACCGACAAAAAGGGTTTTTATTTTTATTTTATTAGGTAAGTATTCACAAATTTATTTCACAAATTATCTATTATGGAATTTATTTTACAAATTATCCACAATTTCAAACTCCTAACTTTTTATGTGAGAAAGGAGCATTGACTAGGGATGACAACGGGGCAATTTTGGGCAGGTGCACTCTGCTTGCTCAAAACTACCTAAACGGGGCCTAACCATACTTGTATTTATTAAATTTTTTTGTTCTTTCATATTTTTATGGAGTGATTTTTTTTGGCATGCACGTCTTTTTTGTCTTACTAAAAGGGTTTTCATATTTTTTATTAGGTAAATACTTACAAATTTATTTCACAAATTATCCATCTAAGGGATTTGGGGTCCTAACTTTTTTGTGTGAGAGAGGACCAGGACGGACCCAGAAACATAAGCGAGGAGGGTAATGTGAAATTTTTTACTAATTTCAAGAAGACAATAGTATAATTTTATTGGATCCGAACTCGAAGAGTGATTATACCATTAGATTAATGACCTATTTTATTTTTTTATAGGTAATTGTTTAATGATTTATTGATTTATGATATTGTGGTTATGGTCTATAGTAATCATATTGGATTCTCTCTCATGTGATTTTTCTGTTATATGCAACATGAATTTTGTCTTATTAAAAGGGTTTTCATTGTGGTTTATGATCGATAATAATTGTGTTTTGGACCCCTTCACTCTCATTTAAAGGGTTTTCATTGTGGTTTATGGTTGATAGTAATTGTGTTTTGGACACTCTCTCATATCATATGGGTAGTTGGGAATAATTATATCAAATTACAACCCTTCATTTTATGATCAAGAAAGAAGGGTTAAAAAAGTAAAATGATGGCCCACGAAAAATATATGTATTGGCCACAGGGGCCATCAAAATATTAGGTAAAGGAGATTTCTTGAAGAAATGGTTTCTTGTCTTGGATCAGAAGGTTGAATTCCTTGAATACCCCATGTGAGTATTTTCCTCTCTGCCAATTCTTCATTTTTTAGTGTTTGGTCCACATCCATATTTTTTGCTCTATCTCTATCACACCAGTGCAAACACAACAACCTATAAAAGCAACCACTTTCTTATACATGTTACATGTTTATGTGATGTTGGTATAAATAATTTATAGTTTAGGTTGGAATAGTTAAGCAGTGGACCTAGAAAATGAAGTTTGGACCCCTACATAGTTTCTGAAGGGAGCCACACAAATGCATAGGACCT